GGGAGACCTTATCACTCTCCACAACTACCTGAAAGGAGGTTGTAGCAAAGTGGGGGTCAGTCTTTTTGAGACCACAGCCTCAAGCTGTGCCAAGGGAGGTTCAGGTTAGACATAAGGAAGAATTTCATAGAATCAGATGTGTTAGAAAGGACCTCTGAGATCATCAAGTCCAACTCTTGGTCCACTACCACCACAGTTACTAGACTATGGCACTAAGTGCCACATCCAGTCTCTTATTAAATACCTCCAGGGATGGAGAATCCGCCACCTCCCTGGGCAGCCCATTCCAATGCCTGATTACCCTCCCTGTAAAGAATTTCTTCCTAACATCTAACCTAAACCTCCCCTGGCAGATCTTGAGACCATGCCCTCTTGTCTTGCTGACAGCTGCCTGGGAGAAGAGACCAACCCCCACCTGGCTACAACCTCCCTTCAGGTAGCTGAAGAGAGTGATGAGGTCACCCCTGAGTCTCCTCCAGACTAAACAATGCCAGCTCCCTCAGCCTCTCCTCACAGGACTTGTGCTCAAGTCCCTTCACCAGCCTGGTTACTCTTCTCTGGACCTGCTCCAGCACCTCAATGTCTTTCCTGAACTGAGGGGCCCAGAACTGAACACAATACTCAAGGTGTGGCCTCACCAGTGCTGAGTACAGGGGAAGAATCACTTCCCTGCTCCTGCTGGCCGCACTGTTCCTGATGCAAGCCAGGATGCCATTGGCCTTCTTGGCCACCTGGGCACACTGCTGGCTCATGTTCAGCCTCCTGTCAGTCCAAACTCCCAGGTCCATTTCTGCCTGGCTGCTCTCCAGCCACTCTGTGCCCAGCCTGTAGCGCTGCAGGGGGTTGTTGTGGCCAAAGTGCAGGACCCGGCACTTGGCCTTGTTGAACCTCATCCTGTTGGAATCAGCCCAGCTCTCCAGTCTGTCCATGTCCCTCTGCAGAGCCCTCCAGCCTTCCAGCAGGTCGACACTCCCCCTCAGCTTGATGTCATCTGCAAATTTACTAATGGTGAACTCAATCCCCTCATCCAGATCATTGTTAAAGATGTTAAACAGGACTGGTCCCAGCACTGATCCCTGGGAGACACCACTGGTGACCGGCCGCCAGCTGGATGCAGCCCCGTTCACCAGCACTCTCTGGGCCCGGCCCTCCAGCCAGTTCCTGACCCAGCACAGAGTGCCCCTGTCCAAGCCATGGGCTGCAGCTTTTCCAGGAGTGTGCTGTGGGAGATGGTGTCAAAGGCTTTGCTGAAGTCCAGATAGACACATCCACAGCCTTCCCCTCATCCACCAGGTGGGTCAGCTCATCATAAAAGGAGATCAGGTTGGTCAGACAGGACCTGCCCCTCCTAAACTCGGGCTGGCTGGGTCTGATCTCTTCTCCATCCTGTAGCTGCTGTGGGATTGCACTTAGGATGACCTGCTCCATAACCTTGCCAGGCACTGAGGTCAGGCTGACAGGCCTGTAGTTTCCCAGGTCCTCCTTGCAGCCCTTTTTGTGGATTGGCGTGACATTCGCCAACTTCCAATCGTCTGAAACCTCCCCAGTGAGCCAGGACTGTTGGTAAATGATGGAGAGACGCTTGGAGAGCTCTTTTGCCACCTCCCTCATCACCCTTGGGTGGATCCCCTCTGGTCCCAGAGACCTGTGGGGATCCAAGTGGCTCAGCAGGTCGCTGTTTCCTCCCTGATTACAGGGGGGCTATTCAGCTTCCTGTCCCTGTCTACAAGCTCCAGAAGCCAGCTGTCTTCGGGACAACCTGTCTTACTGCTGAAGACTGAGGTAAAGAAGGTGTTAAATACCTCAGCCTTATCCTCATCTTTGATAACTATGTTCCCACCCATGTCCAATAAAGAATGGAGGCTTTCCTTGTCCCTCCTTTTGTATCTATAGATGTATGTATCAATAGAAAGACTTTTTGTTTTCCCTAACAGAAGTGTCAAGACCAATTCAAGTTTTGCCTTTGTCTCTCTGATTTTCTTTCAGCAAGACCTAACTATATTCCTAAACTCTTCCTGAGTAGCCAGCCCTTTTTTCCATAGTTGGTAGATTCTCTTTTTTACCCTAATTTCCTTTAAAATCTCCCTGTTCAGGCAGACCAGTCAT